GTAGTAGTATATGTCATCCACTTAAAGAAACAATATAATTATGTAAGCCATTAGGGGTCATTTGGTTCGAATTGTTATAATCCCACATTCAACGATAGTTAATATCAAAATTTTGGTATAAATTTATACGGATTTTAAATGATACGTGTAACCAAATACGAAATAAATGTAGTCCCTGCAAATTTATACCTCGATTCGTATCATGATCCCTAAGGGGAGCCTGGAGCAACGGAAAGTTGTCTCTATATGACTTATACGTCACGGGTTCGAGTCTTGGAAGCAGCCACAAATACTTACATTAGAGCAGTTGTCTATATCACACCCCTTGCATGCGGACCTTTCCGATACCCTACGTTTGTTGTTGTTGTTGTATTAGTATCCTGCGTTAGATTATTAATTTGCAGTCATAGCATGGATTAAGACACAATCATACAGATATAATATCATAATCTTGAGTTAGAGTCTAAGGAAGCGTACCGTTAAACTTCATGGATTCAGCCCAAATGATGATTAAGCCTGAGACCAACTTCCACAATCCACTAGCTACGCGCTCTCACAACCTGGAGAACTTGACTGATGGGACGTCTACCGTTACCAAGTATTCAAGAGGCAGAATACTCTAGGGTTTTCTAATAGCTAGAAAAAGGAGGGTTGGCTTCTATTTATAAAGAGTGTCTACCCATCACAAGCCAATAGTAATTGGGCCTAAGTTATCCACACACACACACAAAATATTTAATATTAGGCCATTTATTTATCCATCACTTAGGCCACATCACTAACCTTTAAGGCTATAACCAATTAACGTAAGTCTATATTCCAACATTCTCCCACTTGGACGCCAACGTTAATTGAGGACAAGAAAACAATTTTAAACTTTTGAGTTTTAAGAAAATCATTTTGAAAAAGTGATTTTAGACTCTACAGTGGCCACACTGCTCACATAGCGAAGGATCGAATGACCCATATAACAATCCATCCAGTTTCAATAGAGAAGACTAACAATGAATCGTAGCAGGCATCACACCATTTTAAGGTATGAATTCTATCTACGACCACATATGCTAGAATTTCCATCAACATGGATCAAACATGTGTGCTAAGCATATTATCTTCTAATCAAGGTGAATAGAGCCACACCTCTTAGAAAGAAATAATCCTCCAAGTGATATAATAACTATATCACCTCAGGAGCCTCCAGACACTAAAATCATATCACCTTAGGAGGTTTCCCTTATGCCTTACTCGGGATAATCAAGGCAACAAGCAGCAAGACTCAAAGATATCATGAGTTTATGCAATATTCAATTGGAAATAAAAATAAATAAATTATCATGTTAGTCAATAAGAATAATAAATATAAAATAACACAAGCTTGCATAACATTAGAATTTATTAAAAGCAATATCTCAGTCAGCAGCTATAAAATAACTCCCACCGACTAAAGCACAGCAAAAGACTCTAAAATACCCATATTTTTAGCATGTTCATTAAACACTACAGGCCTAAGACCTTTAGTCAAAGGATCAGCCAACATAGATTCTGTGCTAATATGCTCAATACGTATATCACCTTCTTTTACCATGTCTCTAACCTTAAGAAACTTAAGGCTAACATGCTTAGAGCCTCTTGTTCTCTTGTTATTCTTAGAGAAGAACACAGTTGCACTATTGTCACAGAAAATAGTCACCGGCTTAGATATAATATCCACAATATGTAATTTAGTAAGAAAATTCTTCATCCAGACAGCATGTGAAACAATCTCAAAACAAGCAATAAACTCGGCATCAATTGTAGATGTAGCAGTGATGCTTTATTTCTCACTTTTCCAAGAAATAGCACCTCCACCCAACATAAAAATATATCTAGAAATTGATTTCATAGTGTCTTGACAACCTGCAAAATCAGAATCTAAATATATAAGAAGATCCAGATCATCAACCTTTTTGTATACAAGCATCAAGTCTTTGGTGCATTGCAGATATCTCATCACTTTCTTTGCAACCACTCAATGTGCTCACCCAGGATTAAGAAGAAATTCTTCCCAAAATATTAACAACAAATGATATATCAGGCCTTGTACAAACTTATATGTACATCAAACAGCCAACAACACTTGCATATGGCACATCTCTCATAGTTCTCTTTTCAACATAATTTTTCGGACATTAATCCTTGCTAAGTTTGTCTCCTTTTGCAACAGGTGCAACACCATGTCTACAGTCTTGCATATTGAAAGTTTTAAGAACACTCTCAATGTAGGTACGCTGTGATAAACCCAATAAACCACGTGACCTATCTCTTTTAATTTCTATCCCAAGAACAAAAGAGGCTTCGCCAAGATCTTTCATATCAAAAGACCTAGACAAAAATTATTTGGTCTCACTCATTAAGCCCAAATCATTTGTGGCAAGCAGAATGTCATCAACATAGAGAACCATAATAATAAAATTATCATTAGCTATTTTCAGATAAACACATTCATCAAGCTTATTTTTCGCAAATTAAAATTTTGTAATAATTTCATCGAATTTCAAGTACCACTGCCTCGAGGCTTGTTTAAGCCCATATATGGATTTGTTAAGCTTGCACACTAGATGTTCTTTACCAGTTTCTTTAAACCCTTCAGGTTGAACCATGTAAACCTCTTCAAGCAGACTTCCATTCCGGAAAGTTGTTTTAACATCCATCTGGAGCAACTCTAAATCAAAATGAGCCACAAGAGCCATCACAATTCTAAATGCATCCTTCGATGAAACAGGAGAAAATGTTTATTTATAATCAATACCTTCTTTCTGGGGGTAACCCTTAGCAACCAACCTTGCTTTATAATGGTCTATGTTTTTCTTGGATTCTCTTTTAGTTTTAAACACCCATTTACAACCAATAGGTCTAAAACCTACAAGCAATTCAACTAACTCCCACACTTTATTGTGTTTCATGGAGCACATTTCATCTTCTATTGCCTCTCTCCATTTATCAACAAATGGAGAGGAAATAGCTTGAGCATATGATAAAGGATCAATCAGCTCTCCAGTATCACTAAGATTTCAGTCACATACACGATAAAACCATCAGAGATGGCAGATTGTTTTTCTCTTTGAGACCTGCGGAGTGGTTCATTGTGTACATTTTGCTCAGGAACTATGGGATCTGCGTCGTTGTTCCCTTGATCCCCCCCATGAGTAGGTTGGTTCACCACCTTTTCATGTACAATAGGTACAAGGACAATGACTTCCTTCTTTTTTAAAATAATTTCCTTACCACATGAACAATCACAATCACAAACATCATGCTCAAGAAGTTTTGCATTAATAGACTCAACAATTCTAGTGCAATGCCCAGGACAGAAAAACCTAAAACTTTTAGAGTGATCAGGATAGCCTCTAAAGAAATAACTGGTAGTTTTAGGATCAATTTTCTTTTCTGTGGGTGAATAAATACGGACTTCAGCTGGACATCCCCAAATGTGAAAATGGTTCAAGCTAGGTTTTCGGGTTGTTCATAGTTCAAAGGGAGTTTTCAAGACAAATTTTGTAGGAACTCTATTCAGGATATAGCTGGTTGTTTTTAAGGCTTCACCCCAAAGAGCCTCAGGTAGGCTAGTCCTTGACAACATACTTCTCAACATTTCCATAAGAGTACGATTTCGTCTTTTAGCCATACCATTCTGCTCAGGAGTACCTGACATGGTATATTGTGCTACTATCCCACATTCTTGCAAAAATAAAGCAAAAGACCCCATATATTGACCAAACACATCATATTTTCCATAGTACTCACCACCACGGTCAGACCTCACTATCTTAATGGACTTCCTAAGTTGTTTTTCAACTTCAGTCTTGTAAATTTTAAACTTATCAAGTGCTTCAGATTTTTCTTTTAAAAGATATATAACAGTATCTTGAAAAGTCATCAATAGAAGTAATAAAATACTTATGATTGGTCAAAGTAGGTACATAAGGTTCACTAATATCAGTATGAATTATTTCTAAGAGTTCAGAGCTCCTAGTGGAACCCTTTCTCTTAACCTTGGTCATTTTACCCTTAACACAATCCACACAAGTTTCAAAATCTTTTGGATCAAGAACAGGTAAAATATTTTCCTTTACCAATCGTTCAATTCTTTCTTTAGAAATATGACAAAGACGCCTATGCCATAATAGGTAAGACGTTTTACTCATAGCAGACCTTTTGTGGACAATATTTTCAACATGCATTGCAGAAAAAGTTTCATTCAATACATTCAAGCGATATAGACCATCACTTTAAAAAACATCAGCAACAACATGTGAACCATAAGAAATTTTAATAATACCATTATTTTGTTGAAATGAATAACCAACTTTGTCCAAAAGGGAAACCGAAACTAATTTCTGTCTCATAGACGGTGCAAAAACAGTATTTTCTAAACAAATACTAGAATTATTTTTAAAAGATAAAATAGATGTCCCTATAAACTCTACTTTTGCTTTGAGTCCATTGCCCACAACAACATTGGCTTCATTCTCTTTTGGCTTCCGTCTGCTTACTAGGTCCTGCAAGTCATTGGTTACATGAACAGTTGCACCACTATCCAACCATCAGGAATTTAAAGGAACATGAATAAGACTAGCTTCAAAATAGATAAAATCCAAAAGATTACCTTATTTCTTTTTCAGAGGACAACCAACTTTCTTATGACCTACTTGTTTGCAATCCCAGCACTTGATTTCTTTCTTAATTACAGTTTGAGGACCAAGAGAATTATGAGACTGACCTTGGTTAACACCAGGTTTATTAGTATGACCACTATTACCACCTGGATGATGAGAATGACCATGTTTCCTTTTGTGAAATTTGGGTCCACCTTTTCTTTTATAAGAGAGATAATCAGCTGATCTAGATGAACTAACAAAGTTCACTACACCCTTAACTTTCTCTACCACACAAATAGTGATAAGCTAACCAACACTCCACTTATACTTTTGTGCATTATAGGTTGTTTTAAGTTGGTTAAACTACTCAGGAAGGGACCTTAGAGATTCGTGAACAAGAAAATCATCGGTAATGGTTACACCTAAATTGTTCAGTTTGGTAGAAATGTTAACCAATTTCATAATATGATCACGGATACCACCTACAAGGTCATACTTTATGGTAGACAAGGAATCAATCAAGCTACCTATCTCAGCTTTATCAGATTCTAGGAATTTCTGTCCAATGGCACTCAAGAAATCTTTTGTATTTCCATTATCCTTAATTGCATCTTTTATGTGATCAGAAATGGATCTTTTCATGATCATAAGACTCAACTTGTTAGCCTTCATCCATTTTTCAAACTTAGCTTTTTTATCAGCAATGCTAGTAGTTGTAGGTTCAGCAGGTTTCTGTTCAGTCAATGCAAAGTCCAGGTCCATAAGACCTAACACTATTTCAACATCCTGTTTTCACTTCTTGTAGTTGCTACTAGTCAGAGTTTTAATGGAATTCAATTGAGTAGTCATGTTATTAACAACTGTATAAGCAAACAACACAAAAATTAAATAGAACCATGGGTAGGAATATATTAAATCAAAAGAGTCAAAGACACCCATTGCACCCCTCCTTTGGGTATAAGATGCTACTGTCTCCCCTTCTAAAAAAAATCAAGGAGTCCAAGGTATTCATTGCATCTTCACCTTTAGGCAAGAGATACAAAGCCTCCCTCTTATTATCCAAGAGTACAAGGCATACATTGCGTCATTCCTTTAGGTAAGAGACACAAACCTTCTCTTACAACAAATTATCCTTACCTTATATGTATAAGGATCCAAGATATTAAGCTTTATCCTTTGGGATGAAATATAATTTTTTATCTCATAAATTAATTTAGTGTCACTAGTATCAAAAGAAAAACCTCCAACACTAGTGTATACTTTAAAGGACAATTTAGACATGGTGCATTAAAAATATTTTAATAATTCAAATAAACAGACCACTTTGGTGGAAACTATTTATTAATCATAATTTTTAATCCACATATAATACTATTTCACATATATAAAGTTTTATGAATTTTCAATGACTCCAAATAAATAGACCACTTTGGTGGAAACTATCTATTAATCATAATTCTTATTTAAACAATATCATATACATGTGAGGAAAATAAAGCCCATATATGTAAACTCATCTAATTGCTATTAATTCCATTCTCTGACGGTAAAAGTCCAAAGAACCGGTAAGAGCGCTATAACCAAAACAAGATCAGCATTCCAATTTATTATTAGAACAGAGTATTTCATATAACACGGTAACATCCAAGTATTTGATCAACTACTGTATAGAAATTGAGAATATATTAAAGGGAACAAATCCATAGAAAAACAATAGAACTTTAAGTCAATTCTGCTTAGTAGGTGGTTAACATTGCATGTTGGAGAATAATTGTATGGAGTTAATTTCATAACTAAAAGGACCAATCAAGTTCGTCTCAACAGAACTTAACAAAAATTAGCCCTCAATTAAAAATTCTTTTCTGATGCCCCCGCCGTCAGAAAGTATCAAGGTTTAACCAACTTTGATATGTGCTTTTATTCACAAATACCAACTACAAAATATTACATCCCCTAGTATGTTGACACGAAACAGCCGCTAAACATTGATGAAAGTGTTTTGGCAATAAACAGTGATAAACTATAAAAAAATATGTCCGCTGGGAATAACCGATTGCTATATAGACAAGAACACTTATAACAAGCCTCAGTTTCGAATCAATTTACCAAACAGAGACCGGAACACGCAAAATAGTTACCCAAGATATATCTTAATCTCTAACTATGGTGTCTCTGATATCAACTGTTAGATTATTAATTTGTAACCATAGCAGAGATTACGACACAATCATACAGATATAATATCATAATCTTGAGTTAGAGTCTAAGGAAGCGTACTGTTAAACTCCATGGATTCAGCAGCGACAACAAACACTACTACAAAAAGGACCTTTAGTGGCAATAAAAAACAGCATTGGTAGCAATAACAATAGCCGCTATATCATTTACCGGCAATTGATCTTTAGCCAGTGATGTCAGGATCGGTAAAGCCTTTAGCGGCATTTCTGTCAAAAGCTGGTAAAAGGTATGACTTATTGCCGCTAAAACTCTTCTTCTTTAACGACAATTATTTGTGACAATTATTATGGATGCTAAACCCATTCTAAAAATGACTAATAATGCTCCTTTAACGTCCATTTTTATAGCCGCTAAATTCAAAATATTTGTCGCTAAAAGTCCATACCTTTAGTGGTAATTATTTTGTGGCAATTAAAGTGGCAACAATATGTCTTCTAGAAACGTATTAGTATGCCCCTTTAGCGTCCATTTTAATGGATAGTATAGTCAATTAAATTGCCGCTAAAAATCATCTTTAATATCAATATAATGGTTACAATATCCATGTATAAAAGTCTTAATCCTGTTAATTGGCACTAAAATTCACAAGCTATAACGGTAAGTTTAGCCACCATTAATAATAGCTACTGCATTCCACCAAAAAATAATGCAAATAACAAAACATATTGATATTAATTCATAAAACTATAGTATATCTCGTTAAATCTTAACAAACAAAAGAAGTACTAATCCAAAATATTAATATCACAAAACCTTAAAAAATAACTCATATTGTTTGAAGTAAATAGCTAATGCCATTATATAACTAATCTTAACGAATAACAATCTTCAAATAATCTCTGAAACTCTTCATCATATTGAAATCTTCCACCCACTAAATTATCGAACATCAGATTGTATGACCTGAAATTGTAAAATAACTACGTCAATATGAAGTAAATGTTGCCAAACAACAAAGCTAATAATAGTTTGCGAGGTTATGAAACTAAAAGTTCATAACCAGAAAGGGACACAAGCAAAATTGCAAGAATCTGCTTCATTAATGTCCCAAAAGTATGTATAGTCTCATCTATGAAGTATTTTAGTATATCTGTAAATGCATATCATACAAGCAAACATATCAAATCAGCTTTTTGAGCATTCTTCACCCAAAATTTTTAATTGGCAACAGATTTTCTACCAAAGCAAATCTTACTGCAAGAATCTAGTGCTCTATAGCTTAGAAATTTAGCTATTCTCAAGTCATTTCGTAACTACTTCAGGAATGACAGTATAATGACTTTTTTCCAAAATTCTCCAATGTTGTGTATCTGTCTAGAAGAGGGAGAAAGAGATAAAGGAGTTGATTATAATTTTATAATAATTTTGTTTCACTTATATAAGTTCAACTTTGTGTTTAAAAATTTCCTCCTGTAGGAAGGACTTTGAAAGGACATGGCTGAGCAATCTGGTCACAGTAGGAGTAAGAGATATACAGGGCGAAGGGTTCCCTGATGAGTTTTGTGGGCGGGCAGATACAGTATTCCTCGACCTTCCTCGACCTTGGCTTGTCATTCCTTCTGCTGGAAAAATGTTGAAACCAGATGGGGTATTGTGCTCCTTTTCTCCATGTATTGAGTAAGTACAACGCTCTTGTGATGCACTCAAATCACATTTTACTGGTAAGTTATTTTTCCTAGAGACTTTATATCAATTCAGTCAAGAAAACTGCTATATAAAAATTACAGACTCTCATGTGGCAAGTGTTTCTGCTTTGTTTAGATATAAGAACATTTGAAGTGCTTCTACGCACCTATGATGTTAGACAAAGGATAGTAGAGAGCTACCCAGTTAATGAAGGAGGTTCTAATGAGCGCCGTACATGAAAGAGGAGGTAGGGTTCTGCTGAAGGAAACAATGGGATTGAATGCACTTCTTCTGCTACTGGGAAGGGAGATTTTAAATGCCTGACTATTTGGGATATTAATATTCGCTCTAATCAATCCTCTTTTGCAACTACAAGATGATGTTGAGGGAACAGAAGTACTGCAAGAATTTAAGAAACTTGAAGATTGGAGGATTAATGCCATTTTTTTGTTGTTCTATGGGATGTTAAATTGGTGATTTATGATTGCAAAACAGAGGAGAAAACCTGCTAATTGATTTGATTGTGATTATGGTAAACAAAAAAGACAATGGACATATATATAGAGAGAGAACACAATGGGATTAAATGCACTCGTGAGCAACAGCAGCAGGACAACAAAGATCCAATTTTTGTGGTGGTTGCTTGCAATAAAAAATGCAGAAGCTGGAAGCAAATTTCAAACAACAGCAACTCCCAATAATCAGATTACTCAAGGTGATGTTTCAAGCCACTATGTGCAGCAGCAACAACTTACTACAGTTGGTACTAATGCTGATGGTCGACGAGCAATAACACCTAACAATTCCGGACAGCAGCAGCAGAATGCAATCACAACAGGACCTGTAGGTACACTTACAACTGGTGAGCAGTAGCAGCGGGACATAACGTCACCAGCTATCACTTTGGAGGACAGGAATTTGCTCGATGCCTTGGTAAGTTCCAAACCACTAAACTCTATATTTTCAGCACACTATATAGACACTATTTCGATCAAGCAAGGAAACCAATGATATCAGATTAAGCAGAATTCAGCTAGAATCCTATAACTCTACTCTTTCAACTAGAATGAATGGAACACTGTAGTAACTTTCAAATAGGCTAACTATTACTACATCAACTGGCACGCACGGATTCAGCTAACTGGCGCAAGGGATGACTTAATCAAAGATGGAGAAGAATATTAGAGTCAAGAAGAAAGGTGAAGATGAATAAGGTTTGAAGAAGTTCACGAGAATTTGCAGAAGAAGGAAGAAAACTGCAGACGTTGATCAAACAATAGAAAACTCAAATAGTAGCTTGCCGAAGGATAAAGATGAGTAGTACCATGAGACATTAAAGTATTTTCAGCAACACTAGGTATTCTTGATGTTTGTGGTACTCGTTCATGGCCACTATTGGCAGCAGGGACCTGATAAATATTAACACACCAGGTAATAATACTTTTATAGGATTAAAACTTCATTAATAATGTACATAACTTATAAAATGGAGTTACCTGTTCAATTGAGGTGCCATTAATATTTTGAGGCATAGATTCATTGGAAGCATATTTGCGCATCAATTGTCTCATTTCGAGTAATTCTGATTGCATCTTCTCCTGATTTGTTTCATCAGATTTATTTCTTCATTGTGTTTATCCTTTAACTCGGTTATCTCTTGTGTTAACCTTTGGACAGCTTCATTAGACGAATCCTCTCCAACAATATTTTCTAAGGAAGATCTACTACCCAATAGAACAGAAGGAGTTGGACCAAGTCCTAAACCACGAACATATCCACTTTTGTCATTTCCGAACACCTGAGAATACACATCGCCTTCCCAAGCAACAGCGCGGGGAGGTTGGTCAATAGAGCTCTCACTATTGTTCGTCCTTTCATTTATCATTTTCTGGCCATAAAATACATAAATCCAATTTGGAATTCACTTATTCGCTTTTATATTTTTTCCTAACTATTTCCCAATTAAGAAAATAAAAGAAAAAAATAAATCTTATAATTGCCTTGATAGAATCATTATCCAGTGGTCTACCATCCTTACGTTTTGTATGAGTTAATATGAAAACCTGTGCTCGTGTAGGCTCTATCCCATTTACAGCCTAATACAATAAAATTGATGTAAGATATGCGTGAAGAAAAAAATTAAAACATTATAGTTAGTAATTTGAACAAGTTTACCTGCTCATCCTTCAAGGTAGCAATACGTTTGGATCCTCCTGTGTGAGGCATCTTTTGATTGACCCTATTATTTCTATTTGCTTGGGAACGCCTCTGTCGTTGAAATATTAAAATGATATCTTATAAATTATACATAAAAATTGAGCATAACTAAAATTAAAACACTGAAAATAATCAACTAGAGGTGTTTTAAAGATTTGTTAATACCTTAGCTTTATCTAAAAGCCAATAAGAGACAAGACCACTCCATTGATCCCTCGGTATGCAACTTGGTCTATTTTTCAGCAAAAGGTCTTTAGTCTTATATTTTCGCAAATACTCACCTTTTAACTCACACTTGTAATCTTTCCATTTCTTTCCTAGTGACTTTAGAACATAAGCGTCTCCTCGTCTTGGGATAGAGAACTTCCTCTAAAAAAATTAAAGCCAATATTTAGAAAAAAATATCATGTATAAAAGATTGAACCATTCATATAATAATAATAATAATAATAATAATAATAATAATAATAATCATAATAACTACTCTATATCCTCACAAAATCCACCAATTTCTTCTTTTCCTCCTTGTCAAAATTTCTCCAATCATCTACATGTAAATGTGTTAGTTCTGGAATTCTCGCAATGATTCCTAGAAAGCTAGCAAGCTTTCAACCTTTTATCCCAATAGCTTGGTTACGATTATTAAATGGCACATCAACTACATTCCCCGGAGGAAGTTTCCAAATATCTTTTAGTAAAGTACGCCCATGAACCTTTCTTGGCTCCAAATTACCTAGAATAGAAGATTCAAAGGTCATCAAATGGCAAAAACATATATGGTTAAATCTGTTAAATAACAAATGATTTCAAACTTATATGATTTCATTCCTTTATCGAGGCAGCAGCTTGATGGAATAATAAAATTGAAGCTCGATCAAAGACAGTGACAGTAATAAAGCAAGATGGGCAGCAGCAGATGACTACATACTACATGCAATTGAAATTTACGTCATACTTGGCACTCTAGGTGCAATAGATGACTACAAGTAATATCAGAATGTAGTCATCTATCGAGGCTACGTGGTTTTTAATTCTTGTGTACTAACTGCTTAGTAGTTAGGAGGTCATAGTTTGTGTTACTGCTGTGCTTAATTATAATCTAAGCTAATACAATTTTTTCGTTAACAAATCTGACCTACATTAGGAAATCTGAAAATGAATGTGAAAAGTACTATCACCAAAGGTTGTGGTGAGGAAGTAAGTATCCATCGATAGTAAGTTAGTAGTATCGTGTTTTGTAGGAACTTTCCAGCTCGATTCCAAATTAATCGTATTCCAAAAGTTGAACAGTTTGCCTCCCCAATCATCATCATACTCAAGAGTCAAGAGTAACGAAAACCAAACAAGTCAACATGAAAATTTTTGATCTATCTTGAAAATTCACAAAAGCACTTTCAAAGCTTATACATATGCATTTTAAAGTTCTTGGAGAAAAAGAAAACAAGAGAAGAAGATTGACCTAAAAAGGGGGGAAAACTAAANACTTGTTGAGCTTGTTTTGCAAAAATAAAGGGCTCATGACGTTCTCGATCGCCAGAGTCTGTCAGGTGTGTGAAATTTACAAGTGTGAAACTCAAGTTATCTTCCTTAATTCCTCTACCTTTGGTTACATCAACCCAATCACACTTAAATAAGATGACCTTAAATTTCTTATAGTAGTTTAACTCCACAATATCATTCAATCTTCCATAATATGTTATATTTGCAGATTTTGGAGCATTATCACTTGTACTTGCATAACTTTCAGTCTTTGAAATTACCATAACACCACTATTTTGTGTCACATTGAACTCTTCACTTTGTTTTGTTCGGAATAGATATCTATTATTAACATCGAACGCACTGAATCATTTTGCAATGTAACTCGATCCTTGTGCTAGGACTTTAACATCCTTTAAGATGTTAGATGTCACTTCCAACTCCTTTACCTAACCAAATAAAAGATACAACTATAAATGTGGATATTTGTACAAGGATAATAATTTAACGTAAACAATGACTTAGTCCTACTACTTACTTGCTCCTTGAACCACTCATGAAATGTATCAAAATGCACACGATCAAGTTGATGTTGTGTCAAAAGACGCTTACGATGTGCTCTTTTGATTTCAGCANTATATATATATATATATAATAGATATAATACTTACTTTTTATAATTCTCAACCACTTCTAATTCACATTGAAAAGCACATGCCGATGTGCTTGCAACCATGTTTTGTCATCCAACTCAAATACATCTATTTCACCGTACGACTCCCCAACAGTAGGAAAAAAGAGATTCTTCTTTATTAGTCTCATGCTCAATTTCATCACTCCATTTTCTTGAACAATAAGACCTTGAATCTCCACCCTCTAAATATCGTGAGCAGAATGCCATACACTTATTTGCTATGTATGCTTCCGCTATTGAACCTTCTAGACATGCACGATTACGAACATATGATTTTAAAGTACCCAAATACCTATGGAACAAAGTAATGTTATTAGTTTGATATTAGAGTATTTAACAACTAAAGACATATAACAAAGATTCAGTGATATTCTACATACCTCTCAATTGTATACATCCAGCGATAATATACTCGTCCTGCATGTTTAGCCTCAGTTGCCAAGTGAATAACCAAGTGTATCATAACAGTAAAGAATCATGGGAGGAAGAGTTTCTCCTTAGTAGACAATGTTTCTGGATTTTTTTCTTTAAGTAGGTTTAACTCTTCTAGTTTTAGCTCTTTGCTACACAAAACACGAAAGAATGTGCATAGTTCAATTAAAATTGAACTTACTCTTTTATCTACTGATCTCCGCAAGGCAAGAGGAAGAAGTTCTTGCATTATAACATGACAATTGTGAGTTTTTAGCCCAGATAACTTTCGTTTGCGAACACAACGTGAAATATTAGACGCATAGCCATCTGGAAACTTGGCATTTTGTAGTACTTCATAAAATAACTCCTTTTCCTACTGAGACATTGTGAAAAATGTAGCAGGAAGATATGCTCTCCCACTAGCTCGATATTGAGGCCATAAGCTTGGTCTTATTTTCATCTCCTTCAAGTCCAATCGAGCTTCTATGTTATCTTTAGACTTTTTACCAAGATTCAATAGTGTATAAATTAAGTTATCACACACATTCTTTTCTATGTGCATCACATCAAGATTATGGCGCACCAAGTTAAATATCCAATAAGGAAGATCGAAAAAAATACTTCTCTTTTTTCATGTGTTTTTCATCACCCCACTTACCCTTTCACTTGACTGGCCGAGAGTAAATTTTATATCTTTAACTTGATTCAACACTACTGACCTAGATACTGGACAAGGTGTAGGTCTTGTTTCTTTAGTCCCATCAAATGATTTCGCACCATTCCGATATTTGTGTCCCGACTTCAAGAAGATTCGATGCCCCATGTAACAAAACTTTCTGCCATGTTTCAGCCTTCTAGATTGAGTGTTTATGTTACAAGAAGGGCATGCAAACCGACCATAAGTGCATCATCCAGAGAAAGTACCATATGCAGAAAAGTCATTTATAGTCCACATGAGAGTTGCTCGCATTTGAAATATCTCCTTAGTAGAGGCATCGTATGTTTCTACTCCAACATTCCATAATTCATTTAACTCTTTTATTAGAGGTTGCAAAAGTACATCGATATTATTGCCAGACGGTTTGGGTCCAGGAATAAGTAAGGACAGAATGAAGAACTCTTGTTTCATGCACATCCATGGAGGAAGATTATATGGCATTAAAATCACTGGCCATGTGCTATGAACAGTTCGCATTGTGCCAAATAGATTAAACCCATCAGAAGCTAATCCTAAGCGCACTATGCGAGGGTCTCCAACAAATTCGGGATATTTACTATCAAATTTTTTCCAAGCTTCAGAATCTGCAGGATGTCGTAGAACTCCATCTTTGTTGCGCTCTTCATGATGCCAACGCATTGCTTTAGAAGTTTCCGAAGACATAAACAGTCTTTGTAGCCGTGGTTTTAAAGGAAAAAACCTTAGGACCTTGGCTGGGATTTTTCTAGCATCATTTTTCCATCTAGAAGCTCCACAAATATTGCATTTATTGACATTCTTATTAGCAAACTCTTTCCTAAAAAGCATGCAATCATTGGGACAAACATGAATTTTCTCATACTTTAAGCCCAAGCCTTCAACTATCTTTTTGGTCTCATAGAAAGAAGGAGTCAATTTTTCACCTTCAGGCAGCGCATCCTTCAATAGTTCAAGCAAAGCATTAAACGATTCATTTGACCATTTGAGCATGCATTTTGTACGGTAAGATGCATCAAAAAGGACATTTTGCTAAATTTCTTACATCCTGGATATAGTTCTTCATTTGCCTCCTTCATGAGCCGTTCAAACTTATCCACCTCTGGATGCGGTTGATTTCCAGATGGATTAGCAGTATTCTCTTGTACGTTATCCGCTATGTCACCCCCTTCACTAACGTCAATATCCATGAACTGTGTAAAACCTCCAAAAGCATCATGTATCATTCCTGTCATATCATCGCCCCTTAAAGTTGATTGGCTGCGATTATTTGCTTGAGCATTGTTTGATCCCTTTAGAGACTCACCATGACAAAACCAAGTATCATATGATGGCATAATACCATTAATCACAAGATGATCATATGTTGTAGTCCGGTTTACTTGATGGATAAGCACACACTCCGTACAAGGACATGCAATTTTTTCTCCATCTTGTTTTTCAGAAAAGGCATGGTTTATAAACTCCTCTACTCCATCCAAATATTCTTTACTAACTCTATCACAATGCATCCATCTTCTATTTCTAGGATTGTCCATGACGTTCAAGATATTCTTTTTTGTTCTATACTTACTGTAAGAGCTAAAAATTCATTAGTAAAAAGAGGAAATTAATAAAAAAATATAGTTCAAATAAAATAACCATCTTATTAGTAGGTAATTCCATAGCTCAAAGATATTATTTTAAGAATTAAAACTATCAAACAGAAATCCATTAAAACTATCAAATAGTTAAACTATCTCTAATTTCTTCTATGGTTTCCATATATTGGCTCATAAACTTTTTAAGAACAGAATTATTAAACTTATAAATTATACTTCTTCTATGGTTTTCATATATTTGTTCGTAAACATTTTAAGAATAGAATTATTACTTATAAATTATAGAAGTACCATACGTCATATATTTTAAAATTGAAGATATTATAATTGTCAAACACTCATTGTATATGGATATGAGCTAGCTGAATAATTTGCAAATATCAGCAATGATACAACAATTTGCAATTTTAGAAATCTGAATGAGGTCAGACATATATTATTTTCTTGAAGTATGATGTATTATCATCCCTTAAAAAATGATGAACTGTTGTACTACAATCCCTAAGCAAAGCAGAAAAAAGCTGATAGTTCAAATTTTTCTCATGGTCCAACTTCTTTCTTCACTTCACAAATTATTTATTCTTTCGATAATTTTCTTAACTTCACTGTTTTGCCACACTCATAGCAAAAATTGAAGTGTAGATTGTTAGATGAATTGAAAACCCTTTTGATTAGTAAAACCAATAACCTATCGGAGAAACAGTTAGAGCAAAAGGATCAAATCAGTCAAGCTGAGCATATGCTTATTTCGTACAGAGGCATCAGATTTGTGAAAATAAGAAAAGATCGCATCAATTAGCAAAAATAAAAAAAGTATGTATGTCGACCAGTGGATTCATATCCCGACTAGTGGTAGATTCAATGAAAACATCAATATGCATCGACGACACTTAAAATATTTCTGAATAGTCACAAGAATAACAGTAGCCTTAGAAAATATACAGAGGAATCAATTCATAAAATAGTAGAGGAACAGATGAGGAATAAACTCAACAAATCGCACATCAATTTAACAGCATCCCGTTATCACAAACGACTTAGCATATGCAGAAAAACTGGAGAAGACAAAAGCTCACAACACATAGGAAAATTGCAATGCAGACATTGGAGCATTGTGTTTTGGCGCTAGGCAGTGATAGTTAAAGCAGAACACTGTTTGATTCTTATTTTTGCAATATCTACAGAATGCAGATTTCATTGGACAAGAAATATAGACCAAACAAATACTGAGAACTACTTTGGCAAACAAATGGTCGCATCTCTTTGTGGCTATCCATGTAATAGGCTAGTTTTTATACATGTTTTACAAATTAAGTTTCATATGCATATTTTACAATCAGAAAGATATCTAAGCAGTACTCTATATATTTATATTCTTTATCTAAGTACTTAACAAAGTTCAATCTAATATATGAATAGTCGAGGGCCCGTTTTACACCATTTGTAGGTCATTCTAAAGTAACAAAGAAGTCCATACTTATTAAAGGATCTGAAAATCTTTGTTCATGCTACATACATTGTTTCATACAGAACATGAATCTCATGTAAAAGAACATTAAACTCGGTAACTATATGAGTTTCTTTCCCAAAAATTGGGAAATTTAGATATAAAAGATAAGCGTCCGAAACAAACTTCCTAAATCAGGATTGTCTACATCTAAATAAGAACAGCCATATATCATGACTTTTAAAGGAATAAATTACACATAATCTATTGTAAATTAACCGACAAGCATCAATCCAAAATCTACTGTAAATAGATTGCAGGCGACTGACTTAACAGGGGGGAAAAAGAGAAGTTAACAGGGGAAGAGGATGGACCGGCACTACAACATGTTGTTGACACAACAACGAGTTAGGAACTGATTTACTATAAATCAATCGACCAGCATCAATACAAAATCTACCGTAAATCGATTGCAAGGAACTGATTTACTATAAATCTACTATAAATTCATTGGACGAAGAGAAGTTAACACTGCCATTGACGTATTGTAAATCGATTTGAACTGATCTTCTGTAAATCGATTGTAAAATCGAAGAGAAGAGAATTGGGAAGAAGATGTGTGTTGTCGTGGACGCACTGTAAATCGCACTGGCGTTGATGCAGCAGCGAGTTAGGGCTTTTTGGTAGCGAAGTCGATTCTAACTGGTAAGGGAAACGATTCAATGTTTTCATTCTATTATTTTCTAATTGGGGAGGGAAACGACAAAAAGGTATCCAAAAAAATTGGAGGGAAAGATTTTATCTTCTTTGTGCAGAGAAAGTTAAAATAATAAAAAATTAATTTCAATTCGTAATTTTTAGTGGCTATTATTTTTATTGCCGGTAAAAGGATATCTTTTACTGGCTAATGGTCATATGCCGCTAATATTTAAGATTAAAGAATTTATTAGCGAACATTGCCTTATTGCCTCTAAATAATTGCCGCCAAAGGACTTTTTTGTAGTAGTGAAACGACGATTAAGCCTGAGACCAACTTCCACAATCCACTAGTTACGCGTTCTCACAGCCCAGAGAACTTGACTGATGAAACGTCTACCGTTACCACGTATTCAAGATGCAGAATACGCTAGGGTTTTTTAATAGCTAGGAAAAGGGGGGTTGACCTCTATTTATAAAGAGTGCATCTCATCATAGGCCAATAGCTATTGGACCTCACTCATCCACACATATAATATTTGATATTAGGTCATTTATTTATCCAGCTCTTGGGCTACGTCACTATCCTTTCGGGCTATAACCAATTAACGTAAGTCCAAATTACAACTAACACCCTTTAGTGTTACCATGGTGGATATCTTTTGAAAGTATTAGTTCAAACTCTAACATAAAGCACAATTTAATTTTCTTACCATACCTGTTTTGTTACCATTTTATTTTATTTTATTTTTGGAATCTTCATCGGTTATAACAGTAATATACGCTTTTTTTAATTATAATCCATGGAAAACTTTCTAATTTAAGAAGTAATCCCTCGCAAAAAGTTATGTCATTAACATAGTGAAATCCAAGGCATACTATATATATTCTAATCAGTTTTTCGTCAGAAGCAAATTTGTTGATCTCAAAGTTTTTGCTACTGAAGAAGATCTAGGGATCGGTCCAAGATCGAAAGAGTCTTGAATCAACTTGATTCGCTTTTCAACTTTAACTTGCATCAATGGCATCTGAGAGGTAAGATTTTAAGTCAAATATAGGACTTAGAGAGTAAGTTACTACTTTTCTTAGTATTATTTCTTTCAATTCTTCCTTTATTTATGTTAGTTATCTAAATTTCATAGTGCTCGTAGATTATTTTCATTTTTGCTTTGTCAGCTATATGCGAGAAATGAATATTCTTCAACTTGAAAATGCAAGAATCTCTTATGAAATTTTGATAATGAGAAGGCTAAAATACTTCCTCAAGGAACTACGCAAGGAGAATGCCCGTTTGAGGAGAGAGGTCAATTCTTATCCAAATATTTTTGCCATTAAATTTTTATGGTTATAGTAAATTAATATTATACAGTATAGTGATATAGTGACCTTATAATTTCTCTTTTGCAGTTAGAGCCTAGAGGTATGGACAAATTTCATCAATTATCAATTGAAGAAAAACGATGATGAAGAACATTCTTTTCCATAGATTCTTCCATCGGAGATGCAGTGTTACGTTGTGGGCTCATAGTATTATGTCAAATGGGAGATACTATATATTATATTAATATAATAATTCTGAAGTTCAACAAATTTAGTTACTTCCAAGGACAAGTTATAGTTGTCATAATTTGCTCAGTTATTGAATAAGTTTTGCGTCACTTTACAACGGGTATTACTTTTGCCTACCTTGCTTATCTTATGTTCAATTTAATTGCATACACAATGCTATGTAAATAAGTATCTATGCTATTATTGTCTTTTCGAACATATATACCATATATTATGCCTTTTTCACCAGTAGTATATGCACCGAGTGATTCTGTTTTGGGTTTTGACTTTTGATCCTCTTCGGTTCTAGGGATGTCACACAGTGCGAGGTGGTTGAGTCATAACTCGCAAAATTTCACGCCCTTCCCCTCATAGCAATTTTATTGTTTTCAACCCGCCCACCCCTCCACTCTAATTATTTATTTATTTTCGTTTTTTATTTTTATTTCCTTTTCTCATTTGAGTTTTTAGAATTTTTCAAAACTATGCAAGATTACGTTGGTTGATTTTTACATTATGGCATTTGCCATAGCTGCTTTTATTTTGGAATACCAAGTTTGCCACTTAATCCCTAATTAAGTAGTCCATGTTGGCTTAAAAGAGGATGGAATGAGGCTCCTAAAGGATCAAAATCCAGCAACCCTTTTAGCCCTTTTGGAAACCTTCTTCCTGTTTCATAAAGAAGAATTTTCAGAAACTACTACTTCCCCGTTTCAATTTATGTGAACCTATTTTCTTTTTTATCTATTTCAAAAAGAATGATCCCTTTCTAAATTTGGTAACAATTTAGTTTAAACTAACAATTCTATCTTTAATGAGAAACTTTTATAACGATACAAATACTCTGGGCCCTTTTTGACTTGTTTAGGAGCACAAATTTCAAAAGTCTTCATATTTTCTTAAACTATGTGCCCAATCAAACAGGTTCATATAAATTAGAACGGAGGGAGTATTGCTTAGTGGCCATTAACTTCCCATAGCTACCATATACATAATTACTTCCTATAGCTACTATTCAGTTGTTACGCTAGTGTATTCGCTGTATTCGCGCTGGTGTATTCATGAATACAGCACCAAAAAGTGCATAAAAATCAAGGCAATCCAGCTGTACGCGCATGTATTCGGTGTATTCATGAATACAGCACCAAAAAATGCATAAAAATCAAGGCAGTCCAGCTGTGTACGCGGCATGTATTCATGAATATAGTAGCAAAAAGCGCCTAAAATCCAGCAGTCCAGTTGTACA